AAAAAAAAAAAAAAAAAGAAAAAGACCTTTTGGGCCTTTTAACCTAGCTTACTTCTTATTGTTATCTTATTTATTGAACATATGATTATCGTTTTTACTTCTTAACCTTAACGTGCAATTATGTTAGATTATATCTCATGATCCTGACTTAAACTTTTTTAAAAAAAATTTTGCCCATGCAGCGGAACCCCGCCTTACCGTCACCCAGTTAATACGATCACCTCGTCACTACGGCCATTTTTTTGTCCCAGCGAAACGCCCAAATACGTTTTCTTATAAGAAAGCCCCGTTAATGTGGCCACCCCGTTAATAAGGCCAATGGCCACATTCTGAAATCCTGTATAATCCTTGGGCGCTTTCCATTCGATTAAAAATTCCGAAATTTTCCAAACGGGGAGAAATGGTACGAAAATTTCGAGGGAAAAGTTCCAGAAAATCCGGAAATTGTTGAATTTCCGAAAAGCGTACCATTCAACCGAAAATTCTGGAAATTTCGGGATGAAAACCGAATAGAACGGAAATTTCCAGGAAAATATGTTCGAAAATTTAGGTATACCTCACGAGGTTGTCCTCTTTTTCGGAAATTATGCAAATTCTCGATTTTCTATTCAGCGCTAATTCTTTTGGCCGCGATGACAGCGACTTGGGCATCTCACGCAAGGATGACGGCGACGCGTATTCGAAAATTGAAATACTTTAGAATCCTTCCACTTATATATGTCGATAAATACTAGCTACAGCAAAATTCGTGAAGAAAGCGTTTTATAAAAATAATGCCCCTGTGGTGTACTTGTTTGTTTTGTATAGCTTGGGTAAGAAATGTACAAAAATTTATAACGCGTGCAGAACCACTGTACGACTCATTAAACCCTTTGTTTTGCGACGTTTTCGCTGCGCCCGTTTTGGTTTGTATAAGGTCCGTGCTGTTGTGGTCTATAAAAAGTCGCGATGTCGACATATCAGTGTTCTGTTTTCTTCTATATTTGCGATTTAAACCTCGAAGTCACTGAAAAATTCCAAGCGAACAAAACTGTGCGGCCTGTCGTTTTCCACACTGGAAAAGTCTGCACCATTCGCCCATGAAAATTTCCGGAAATTCACACCGGAATTTTTGGTCGAATGGAAAGTGCCCCTTTATAATTTTAACCCGTTTAGACGGCCACTCGAACCAGTTATGTTCATCTTTCCATTGTTAATATTTCATAGACTGATTCAAATTTCAATGTTTTTAAAATTATATCTACATTCCGAGCTGTTTAGAAGAACAATTGATATATCTGTTAAGACGTTACTCAATTTAAACCAGTCGTGAGGTTTGATTCTACCGCGTTAATACGGCCAGATTTTGATGGCCCGTTGGTGACCGTATAACGGGATTCCATTGTATATTATAGTATTTACTTTTAATTTTAATTTGTGTGGAATACTTGTAAATTAGCTCGTGTGTCATTTCATCATGCGATGTCACACTTGAATAGCTGAGCGTATGACACAATAAACTTGTATTGTGGTTGTTCAAATACCAAACAATAAAATATCTCTAACGATCTTTAACGTCCATAGTGTGTAATATCACTTTTATATTTTGAGCTATTCACCTCCACCTATGAAGAACTTTCACAGATCTCCTCAGCAGATCTGAGTTCTTGAGTCTTTCAACGTAAAGGAAGCAATCACAAAGAAATTACAAAAACAACGAGGAAAAGAACTTGGTAAGAAAATTCAGTATACTTACTATCCTGATCTGTTTTAACAACAATAACAGGATCACTAGCTGGTCCATCTCCTTTTTCAGTAGATGCAAAAACTGTGATATTGTAGTTGACGTACTCCTGTAGATTTGTCAAATTCTTTTGATGAACAGAGGCACTTACTTGAACATTGCCATTATCATTTTCTGTTTGCGAGTGGTAAGTAATGGTGTAACCCGTGATGATACCATTCTGTTGATCAGCTGGAACTTCATTCCACATGACTAAGATGCTGGTTGAGCTGCTGTTCTGTCCACGCACATTTTGTGGAGCACCATCAGGTTCTGATGTAAAAGTTCAAGACCAGTTAACTTTGCAAAGATTCTGTTATGTTACGATAATGCTGTATACTTAAATAACGGTTGTTTAAGCCATTAAATTAATTGGTGGCAGGACTATATTAAGAGTGTGCTGATGCAAGAAATGTAGTTTTTTATGCTCATCTTAACACCGGGAGTTGAAGCCGGCAAGAATAATAATAATAATAATGATAATAATGATAATAATAATAATAATGATAATGATAATGATAATGATAATAACAATAATATTAATAATAGTAATAATAATAATAATAATAATAATAATGATAATGATAATAATAATAATCATAGTGATGGTAATGGTAATGGTGATAATGATAAGGGTAGAGGTAAAACAATTGGAACATATCTTTAAACAGGATAAACCCCTCGGGGCTAAGTACTAGGGGTGGTCTACGAAAGAGAAATTTATCGCCTCCCTAAATTATTTAGTTTATTTCCTTACTTTTTATTTATCTACACATAGCATTCCATTATAACCAATTGTACAATAATCAAGTCATAAAGTCAGAATAAGTCGATTTACTCTTCTCTACAACTGAAATGGAGAAATCATACTATAACCCGTACAAGCTCTGTAAATTCCAACCAGGCTTGTAAGGATAGACAGAGAGATCGCTTGGAACAATTTAATGCAAAAAAGTTCAAAACTACTGTACAAAAAAAGGAGCTTTACCAAATCTACAGTATTTTAAAAAGTGGCAAAAAATATGGACACGGCGCTAACAAAATATATTATAACCTTTATTGGCGGAAAAGTATAGACCATTTTTATTTTATTTGATCGAAAGTTCAAAGCTACTAGATATGGACAAGGCGTTAAGAAATATATTATGACCGTTAGTGACAGAAAAGCATAGACGATATTTATTTTATTTGATCGAAAGTTCAAAGCTACTGTGCCAAGGACAATGAACTCTACCAAGGCTGCTGTGACAATCGAGAAACCAAGAAAATGTAAAGGCGGTAAAAGATCTATTTCGACCGCTAGCGATAGAATATAACAGACAGAAATTACATTTCGAAAATCACAAAATGGCCTGAAGCAACTTCCATCGATGCAAACTAAAAGTTAAGAACTTCTCTAGACTTTAAGTTTTAAATTCAAGATTACACATTGGTAAAACTGAGAAAAATATCGAAATAGCAGTAAAAGGATTCAAAATGCTTGTAAAGAAGAGAGACTAGTGAATTAGCCGTGTTACCTTCTTTGTTAATTTAAGGCTTCAAGAGAACAGACATGGTACATACATAACTTAATAGAACTCTTTCAATTAAGACCATGTGCACGGTACACATACGAAAGCGGAGCCCCTCATCGATAACAGGAGGGAGGTCATGGGTTTGATTCCTGTCGGGGACTCAGATTTTTTCTTTGTCCAACGCTCGTGTCATGTTGATCGATTCACCTCTCACGTTTCATTACCGAGCTTAAAATTCAACATCTTTATTCACTTTACTTATCACTACTTACGATGACTTCGACAGTGCTGATCCTAGCAGTATGCA